ACTCATGTATTGCATGCCTTAGCGGCCATAGGCTAGTACATGCCACGCGTCCTCGAGAGGACCGATCACCGATTGTGGCCAATCGCTCCTTCCTGCTTTGCCAAAGGTGGCTCAAAATTGCTTTCCCTGCCCTGTATCGGCATCACTTCCCGCCTTTCCAACCGAGCTAGAGGGGGAGGGAGAGAGGCACAGGCAGCCCTGGAAATGACTTCCCTTTTTTTGTCATCACTGTTTCGTGAAGCACTGGCGGCGGCGGCGGCGGCGAGAAATGGTGTCAAACCAGAAGAAAACGAGAAGGGAAAATGTGTGCTGCTCGGGGAATCGTTCAAGTACAGGCAGCCTCCGCTGACGCTATGGATTCGCTGCAAATCTATCTGAAGACTCTTTTCTATGGATAGACATGTGTGGATCGTTTCCATGTATGATATCAAGAGAAAAAAAAGAAGGATGTTACCGTACCGCCAAGAACAGCGACAACAACAACAACCTACAGCAAATGGCAGTTACACCTGATCGAGCACATGAAACGGGATACCAGCGTCGTGTGTCAAACCACGTCGGAGACTGGGGGACACAGTTCGGTATGCTCACCCTCCACCTCAACATAGTCGCACCAGAAGCTGTCGAGGGTGGGGCGCAGGGCAAGCAAAGTGCTTCGTCAGAAGAAAGAAAGCCTCTCCGATGTACTTTTCCGTAGCTCATATGAGCGCACTTACTACGTCTGGGGCACAGCTCCCGAGCAGACACGACAAGGTATAGCACCAACTCGTACTCCAAGACAACACTGACCCCACCAACGTGTACAACCCGGCCTGGCTCTCACCCAGCAAGCCACCCCTGACCCCGGGGTGACAACAACCCGAGCGCTCCTCCGCCTCCCCCCCCCTCCTCGCCACCATGCGGGCCGCCCTCGTCGCCGTGGTCTTGACGCTGCTGCTGCTGGCGTCCCCTACCCCTACCCCGTCCGCGTGCCCCCCCCCTGCCGGCGTTTCTTTGCTGCTTGCTGGGGGTGCCTAAGACACCGAGCCTGCGGGCGTACGGATCGTTGGTTCGAAAGCGTATACAGAAAGCGCCCGTTGTTGAGCACTTGACAGTTCAGGAATTTATTGGGCCGAAGAAAAATTAAATTGAAGAACTTTAGCACCATTCTGTGAGCTCGGTTAAGAACCCCTGCAATAAAACCTACATGGTGCCTCGGCCCAAACTAGAGTGCGGGGGCCAACTTGAGCCTACCGTAAAAACAAAATTCCCTCCACTCACTGATTTGACTACAGCACATACATCCATTTGACTACTGTGGATATATCTCGATTAGGTAGTAGTCTTTCTGTGCGAGTTCTCCGAAATCTCCAAAAAAAAGGTGCGCTGACCTCTCCCCTTGTTCGAGTTCTCCGAATTCTCCGAAAAAAGGCGACTTTACAGAGACAAGTGTGTGTGTGTGTTGGGGAATGAGTGTTTCACTGCCTTGCCAACGTAGCTTGGCCATTCTAGTATTTAGAGGCCCCGCAGAATTGAAGTCTCAACGCCTCAGTATTGAACGTGGAGGAGGGGGGGGGGGNGGGGGGGGGGGGGGGGGGGGGGGGGGGTGCGTCCAAACGCTCGTATCGAGATGAACCGACGGCTTGTAAGAGAAAGCGAATCGACAGCTTTGTGCCAGACGAACCCACACGTTTGCAGATACGAACCGAAAGCTTGTTATCCAAGAGACAACAGACTGCTTATTCGAGCGAACGAATCTACAGCAATGTTTCAGACGAACCGACACCTTGTGCGGGAGAACCTACAGCAGGTTTTTTCCAGACGAATCGACACGTTGCACGATACGATCCGACAGCAGTGTTGTTGCATACTATCCAACTGCACGCAACACTGGACACGTCAACGTTCGCTGTCAAAGCTTACCGTACATGACACAAGATAACACACCCCCTAGACCGATTGTCAAATCTCGATTGCTCAACAACAGAAAGAGTCCCAGCGCCGAAATCGATGGCGTTGAAGGTGTCTCGTTGAGAACTCTCCGAAAATGTAATGTTTCAATTATGCATCCTCTTCGTCGTGGAGTAATCGAGCTTTGAACATCGGTCCAGGGGGTGTGTTACCTTGTGTCATATACGGTACTTCATTTTTTTAATTGTCCTTTTTGTCGTATTTTCGCCTACCTTCGAGCCAGCTCGCGTCTCCCTCCGTCGACGCAGCGCATGGCATCCTCCAGAAAGTTAAAGTCTTGAAGAAAAGAACAAAAAAACGGAAACGGAGAGGATGGTGTCACCCAAAGCTGGCCGCGTAGAGAAAAAGGCGTTGTTGTTGTTGTTGTTGTTGTTGTTGTTGTTGTCGTCTTCACAATAGAAATCAATCCGCTCCCTTCTCAGCAGTACCGTACATGCCAGCAGAACAAGAGGACTCAACTGCTTGCACCGGACGCAAGGTATTCGCAGGTTTCATACGCAATACACCACGCCCCCTGGACCATTCTTTCAGGGCCCCGCTGTTACTCCACGACGAAGAGGTTGCATGAATAAATGATACGCTTTCGGAAAGCTCTGGACGAGAAGGGGTCAATGCCGCCGTTTTCGGCACTGTGACTGGTGGTGGGAAATCGACCTTTGAAAATCGTTCCAGGCGGTGAGTAGCTCCGCACCAACATCGAAAACATCCGCACGCCAAAGGTAAGCTTGCTGCAAAAGCTGCAAAAGCTTGTGCCCGATCCCAAAACAAATAATCAAGTGTACAGTCCATTCTGTCACATGTACCGCCCCGCCTCGCCGCGAGTGCTTTTCATCCTTGTCTCAGCCGTACGATACTTACTTTCTTTCGAAAATGTTCTCTTTGGCATCTCGAAAAACCATTTCTGTTTGACTGTACTGTACCTTTACACTCGAAACTTGCAATTTGAAAACTGGTTCAAGGGTATGGGTGTTATCTTCACTGGTAGACTGCCTATCGACAGACTTTGCTGGCCACAACAGAATTCGCAGAAAACCTACCGATGGACAGTGCTGGTCGCAACGTCTCACCATCTTTGTACGCAACCTACTGTACATTCAAGCACACTTCGCAAAGCATCGCAGGCTTACCGTAGGTTGCATAAGATATCGCACCCTCTGGACCGATTTTCGGAGCTCGATTTCCGTAGGTTGCGTACGTAAGATATCACACCCCCCTGGGTCAACTTTCGGAGCTCGAATTCCCGGCGGCGGGAAAAGCCGTAACGGTGCCGAAAATGGCGGTGTTGGAACCGTCTCGTCAAGATCTTTCGGATAACGCAGACTTTTATATTTCGGCATCATCGTTTTCGTGGAGTAGTCGAGCTTTGAAAACCGGTCCAGGAGGTGTGGCACATAATCAGTGCCCTTCGCAGTTTTTTTGTATTCAGGAAACATGTTGGACAGAGCATTCAACCGGGGAAGTTGGGATAGGGTTTGGGGTATAGGGTCTGCGTGCCCCCACCCTGTTCTATTTCCGTGTAATACTTAACTTCCCGCGATGTCGGTCCTATATAACGCAACCTACGGTACTGCTCACCGCTTCTGAGATGTGCATCGGTGAAGTCCCGCAGGCCAACGAACGCCACCTTGTCCCGCTTACCGTTGCACCCCTCCTGCCCGATAGAACAACAAAAAGAAAACGAAAAAACATGCGTGTGTGGGGGATGCGGTGTAGGCTCGTTGACTTCACGACAGCAACCGCTGCGTCTACTATTTTTCCCTTCAACACCAAAAAATAAATCTCCACCGACAGATAGGAGTCCAGGGAAAAAATGGCACCTTGTCTTGCATACCGTTGCATCCTTCCTGTCCGTTAGGAGCAAAAACAAAAAAAACGAAATCCATACAGTAGGTGGCCCAATATCGTGGCAGCTTGAATAGTGGAACTTCCGACATAACAGTGGCATCAAATTCTCTCGTCACAATCTCAATATGTACATGAATCCGATAGACAATATGGAATAGCGGCACGCACTGTCCTGAATAGTCCTCCTCCCCCCACATGCCACTATATCGGGCCATCTACTGTGTGTGTTTGGGGGGGGGGTGCGGTGTAGGCTTGATGACTTCCAAGACATCAAACGCCGCGTCTACTGTTGCTCTTCAACACAAAAAATAAGTTTCCGCCCACAGATAGGAGTCCAGGGAAAAATGGTACACGAACTCATTGTTTTTCCCTGTTGATTATTGCCTTGAAAGTGTCGGCTCGGATTGGACGAAGCATTCCCTATTGCGCCGCACCTCTTTCTTGTGCCGCTTGTAGCAGGGAAGGCTGCACGTCAGCTTTCCGCACCGCGGGCAGCAGTAGCGGCGCTCCTTCTCTCCGCAGACCTGCCAAGAAGAAAAAAAAGCTCTGTTGGCATTTGAACCAGGGAGAGAGAGAGGTACATAGCACCCACGCCGGGAAGGCTGTTGCACGGTCGTCGTCTACATGTTGAGGCGTGGCTCGACGCTTGGCGACGATAAGCTCCTCGACCCTTTCAGCGATACCATCCTCGTCAATTTCTAGAATGTATACAAATCTAGTACGAACACATCGTTTTAGATATTGGCTGTGAGAAGCGGAGAGATGGCACACCCCCTAGACCGACTTCCATAGCTCGATTTTCTCCACAACCAAGATTGTGCCGAACAGTATTCCGTACCGTCTGTACTGTACCGCATGCCGTACCGTGGTATTCCGTGAGAGGCGGAGAGATGGCACCCCCCTCAGACCGTCTTTCAAAGCTAGATTTTCTCCACAACCAAGATTATCTGTACCGTACCGTATACCGTACCGTATACTGTACCGTGGAATTCCGTAAGAGGCGGAGAGGTGGCACCCCGCCCAGACCGACGTTCAAAGCTCGCTTGATCCACAACCAAGGTTGTGCTAACACCAGCGATGGTGGTTTTGGAAACATGTCGTCGAGGGCTTTCCGTAGACGTACCAGGCTCCTTCCGCACCCCATTGGTTGTGGGGACATCGAGCTTTGCAAGGCAGCCTACGAGGGGGGTGCCACCTCGCCGCCTCCTGCGGTAGGTACTGCGCGAGTCTTCTTACAGCATATGCATAGCAATGCACAGTCGTGGAAGAAACACAGAAGTTTAGGGCCTACGCAATGTAAAGCGACGTGAAATGAGTGACCTGTGGCGATGTTCAGGTCGTGAGAATCGCCGCGTTTCTCTCTAATCTCTGACGAGAATTATAGTCTAGACTACTGTACGCTTCGAGCTTCTCCTGCTTCAACGAAAAACAAAATATCCACATCTCAACGCGTTTCTGTGGACAAATGTGCTTCGCACCAGCTGGTTTCACTGGACTAATTTCAGTGTGGGGGACTCAGACTCGATATAAGACCCGACATAAGGCCAGTTTCCAGCCGGTTTCCCTCGACTCACTGAAAGACTCAGCAATGATAGTGGCCGAATCTCCAACCCCCAACGGGTATTTTGTTGTCTCTTGAGAGTTTTCGTATGCATGTGGATATTTTCAAAGAATAACTACAGATAGTAACGCTTGTTTCCTCCGACCGTGTCCTTTCCAGCAAAACCGTTGCAACTTGTCTGAGCAACGATCCCTGTCGACCGTAAGATGTCTGTCCTCGAGAAGTGTTCTCCGCCCGAATCGTTTTAGCCAAGTCCAAACCGTTACAACATGTCTGATTCACCGATCCCTGTCCTAGCGACCGTAAGATGCTCTCGAGACGTATACGTTAGGTGCAAAACATGATGCAGCACCAGTATGACCTCACCTGACACTTCTGCACCGCGGGTGCCTCAGCCACGTGGCTAGCGCTGGCACTACATGTATTGCCTGCCTCTGCACCGTTCAGTCCGTCTCCAACGGTTTCGCCAACCGGCACTGGTTTCGCCGCACCCGCCGCCGCTGGTGTTGCCGACTCGACGGCTTGCGATGGGGGCGCTGCTGCTGCTGCTGCTGCTTCTGCTGCGCCTGGCGTTCCGGGCGCCTTCTTCGCAGCGGCTGGCAAGCCACGGGAACACTTCGGGCTGCTACTAGCGCGGTCGCCGCCGGTCTCGTCGTGGCCACGGATGCTGCTCGTGGAGGATATGGCTGGCTGTTGCTGCCGCCGCTGCTGTGGCGGATGCTGCCTCGGAGCAGATTCGGGAATAATCCCTTCCGCTGCTTCCCCCCCATGCCCATCCTCACGGGGACGCTTGGCCCCGGAAAGGGGAGGGTCAACGGAGGGTAGCGTACTGCCTTCGGTGGCCGCGCCGTGGCGTCCGCTGTCCATGGCCCTGCAAGTTGACGTCACTGCTGCTACACCGGAAACCTCGACACCAGCAACAAAGCTGCAACTGCTGTTGTGGGCAAAGCTGGGATGGTTTATGGGAGCGCCTCTGTGCGCCACCGGCGGTACTGGTTGATCCCCTTTTCTCACCCTATCGGCCAGGTGGTTTCCCCCTCTCTCTCTGCCTGCTTCTTCCGTTCGTGTGTGACTCCCCCCTGCCGCTTTGTTGCTGCTATCGTAGCCACTGGACTGTCAATGGCAATGGAGGCTCCAAATGTTGCTGTGATTGGGGAGCATACCCACGTATGTAGTTCTTTCTGTGGGTCCCCTCTCTCCAAAGCTTGCCGAGACGCAGCAGCAGCACGGCCTTCGACAGACGGCCGAGCTGCCTCAACACCAACACGGACGCGACGAGTGAGTGCACGTACTTCTTAAACTATGATCGAAGAGAATGGGGTGTGAAGTATCGGCATGATAAACCTTTTGAGGCGGGGCGTTTGTTTGTGTCGGCCTGTCTTGAACTGCCCTTGGTTGTCGGGTTCTCGATTGGTTTGCCCGTCTCTGCTGCCAGCCCATTGCCGCTGTGCTCCCATCCTCTCTCTCTCTCTCTCTCTCTCTCTCTCTCTCTCTCTC